CCATCATCAACATGGAGCCCCCACGCAATGTGAAGGAAGTTCAACGGTTGACGGGCCACCTGGCAGCCCTCAGCCGCTTTCTATCTAAATCAGCGGAGAAGTCTCTACCCTTCTTCCAGATCATGAGGAAGACGGTTGGCTTTCAATGGACTCCAGAATGCCAGGGGGCTTTCGACGAGCTCAAACGATATCTATCTTCACCCCCTGTGCTATCCAAACCGAAGGTAGGGGAGACCCTCTATCTCTACCTCTGGGTCAGCCCGGCAGCCATCAGCTCCGTGCTCATCCGGGAGGAAGACGGCATCCAACATGCCATCTTCTATGTAAGCAAGACCCTAAGGGAGGCCGAGCTCAGGTACTCCCCTGTGGAAAAAACGGTGTTAGCCATCGTTTGGACCGTCAAGAAGTTGGGCCACTACTTTCAGGCTCACCCGGTTCAGGTCCTCACTCATCAACCCCTCGGCGCCCTCATGAGAAGCCCCACCAGCTCCTCCCGCATGGTGAAATGGGCCATCTTCTTGAGCCAGTACAACATTGACATCCGTCCGAGGCCTACCATCAAGGGCCAAGCCCTGGCGGACTTTGTGACAGAGTGTACCGCAAGGGCAGCCACGGACGGGGAGCCCTCGGCTGCTTTGGACGACTGGTGGACCCTCTACACCGACGGCTCCTCCGCGACCAAAGCATGCGGGGGAGGGGTAGTCCTCATTACTCCCGAGGGCTTCAAAGCCTACTATGCAATCCGCTTCTCCTTCAAAGTCTCCAACAACGAGGCCGAGTATGAGGCCCTCGTATGTGGCCTTCGGCTGGCTGCCAACATGAAGGCTCGACAGATCCACATCAAATGCGACTCCAAGTTGGTCGTTGGCCAAATCTCCGAGGAATATGAGGCCAAGGAGGGGAGAATGAAGCAGTACAAAGAGGTGGCCAAGGAGTTGCTTAAGATATTTGAGGCACACTCTCTCACTCAAATACCGAGGGCTCAGAACTCCGAGGCTGACATACTATCTAAGCTCTCGGCCGACTCCCCCGAGCACATCTCCAAGATTGCAAAAATTGAGGAACTCAGTCTCTCAAGTATCCATGCAAGCCTCGTTATGAACATACAACAACGCCAAGAGGACTGGATCACGGATATCATCACCTTCATCTCCACAGGGCAGCTACCCGAGAACGAGACCCGCGCTAAACTGGTAAAACTGAGGGCTCCTAGCTATACCATCGAAGACGGAAGGCTCTACAAACGGTCTTACAACGGCACGCTACTTCGGTGCCTTCATCAGGATGAAGCCGAGGTCGCAATGGAGGAGGTGCACAGTGGCACTTGCTCAGCTCACCAGGGACCCTTCTCCATGTCCCGAAGGCTCATTCTCCAGGGCTACTTCTGGCCAACCATGGCCAGAGATTGTGTTGACCTTGCCCGAAGATGCACCGCATGTCAACATTTTCAGAAAGCCCCGGGCAGGCCAGCGGTCAACTATGCCCCCATCAGCACATCTGTCCCCTTTTCTCGATGGGGGATAGACCTTGTGGGCCCTCTGCCGCGGGGTACCTCCAACAACAGGTACATCATTGTGGCCATCGATTACTTTACCAAGTGGGTGGAGGCTGAGCCCCTCGCCAGTATCAAAGAGGCGAAGTGCCGTTATTTTGTCCTCAAGAACATCCTCACAAGGTTTGGCGTCCCCCAGCAGATCATCTCCGACAACGGAACGCAATTTGAGGCAGCCCCCTTCTGTGCCCATCTGGAGGCATGGGGCATCAAACACACCTTCTCCTCCGTTGCCTACCCTCAAGGCAACGGGCAAGTAGAGAATGTCAACCGGACCTTGCTCGAGGGCCTCAAAAAGAAGCTGGAGGCCGAGGGCGGTGGCTCGGTGGAAGAACTCCACAACATTCTTTGGGCCTACCGCACCACCCCTCGGCGAGCAACAGGTGAAACACCCTTCTCCCTCTGCTACGGTTTTGAAGCCAAAGCTCCTACGGAAGTCACCCTTCCCACCCAGAGGGTGATCCAATATGACCCCGAGGTCAACAACAGCAACATGGCCCTCGACCTCCACCTCCTTTAAGAACGCCGGGAGCAAGCCTTCATCCGGGCAGAAAACTACCGAAGGCAAGTCAAAGGCTACATCGACGCCAAGGTTCGCACCCGAGAATTCCAAGTGGGGGACTATGTCCTCCGGAGGAGGGAAGCCAGCCAAAGTTCGAAGGCCCCTACATCATAGCAGCCATCATCAAACCTGGGACTTACAAGCTCAAACGCCCCAACGGGAAAGAGGTCCCTAGACACTGGAATGTACACCACTTAGTTAAATGTTATCAATAATGTAAGAGCGACCAAGCCCTCATAACTAGTGAATGTATTATCCTATGGCTCAAGGCCTCCAATTTTGAAGAATGAAGACATATTCAAGACACCAAGAACAAAACACTTATGAGCGACCAAGCCCTCATACCAACTACAGGCCCCAGGCCTCACCTCGAGAAGAACCCCCTCCGGCGTCAAATCCCGAGGGCGGACACCACCAACACCTAAGACAACAGTGAAAACACCATTTGTTTTCAACCAAGACCCCTCGGTACCAAGTACCGAGGGTGGAAACTCCCATCACCGACGACAAGAAACACCAAGTGTTTCATTTCCCTTCGGCACCCAGTGCCGAGGGTACACCTCCACCATCAACGTCAAGACGAAGAAAAACACCAAATGTTTCAAAGAAGACCCCTCGGCACCCAGTGCCAGGGATATGCCCTCCTGTCAACTTTCAAACACCTGTTGGGAAACGCCAAACGTTTCCTTCGAAGGCCCTCCGGCACCAAACGCCAAGGGTGAACACTCCAATCAAAACACCAAATGTTCCTACAGAAGACCCCTCGGTACCAAGTACCGGGGGTACACATCTCCACCATCAACATAAAAAGAAGAACACCAAGTGTTCCTACAGAAGACCCCTCGGTACCAAGTACCGGGGGTACACATCTCACCCGTCGACGTCAAAAGAACACTAAGTGTTCCCACAGAAGACCCCTCGGTACCAAGTACCGGGGGCTACATATCGAAACTAACACCAAGTGTTGTTTCTAAAAGCCGTACCCCACGAGGACGCATATACCGAAGGCGCCACCATCGGTGCCGGCGGCACGTAGTGACCCCGGCCATTTGCAACTAGTGTGCAAATGAAAACCCTTCTTTGAAACGCTTTCCGCGTCACTACCCCCAGGGTATGACAGGCATGAGAAATGCCCATGATTCGACTTTCAAAAACGGAACGCTTTCCGCGTCATCACCCCAAGGGTATGACATGCACGAGAAATGCCCAGGATTCGACTTCCAAACCGAAACGCTCCCCGCGCCACCACCCCAAGGGTGTGGCAGGCCACGGACTATGTCTAGCGCCGAGGGGACGACTTTCAAAAATGAGGCGCTTTCCGTGCCATCCCCCAAGGGGAGGCAGGTTACAGACCACCATATCTTGTGCCCAGGAAACGACCCTCGATCCCCTCGGAACTCGGAAGGTTAAATCGAGGGAGGAGAGCCATTGGTGTATTCTGATGGTCTCCTGATAGGCCCAGCCTTACCAAGAAACCAAGTTTCTTGATGCCTTCCCTTCACCACCAACCACAAAAAGGGGGGGGGGGGGGGTGAAGGGGAGTAGACTCAACGAGAAATCAAAGAGTACACTCCAACAGATCAAACCATGTCGAGGGCTTCCCACGGGAACACCTCCGGTAATTGAAGGCTCCTATTTCCCGAAGGATACTACTCAAACAAATATCATCAAGAAACGGCTAAGTCCACTGCTTGTTCACCTCCGGTCACACAAGCACCGAAGGCTTCAACAATACAAAGGGACTGGACTATCCAAAGTCCACTAAACGGTACTTCAAACAAATACCGAGGGCATCTGTTATGCACTAATACCGAGGGCCCTTACCTCATGACAAGGGACACAACTGGCTAAGTCAAACTCTACAACTTTTCAAGTGAATGTCGAGGGCACATACTCCTCATCGGTTTCCTTTACAACAACAGGACTCCACATTTTTCCTAAGTCCACACTTTTGGAAAATGACAACAACCGGAGGCTAATATATCACCCGACAACCGAAGGCATCTATTACAAATCATCAAAGGCCAACCGAGGGGGCTTATTCCAAAATATTTGCCCCTCGGACAGACTCCTCACTGACCGAAGGTTCAACATCTACGACACACTTTGAGATTTTTTCTAAGTCCCACATATTTGGCCCTCGGTCAAATACTCATACAACACTAGGGCCTCACGATCACCCGAAGGGTCCTATTCATATACCCGGAGGGATCTACATCCCGAAGCTCAACATCAATTTACGCTTAGAAAATATTCTAAGTCCTAAATGAGTAGCCCCCGGGCATCTCGCAAAAGTGACGCAGAGTCAGAGGGCACCTATCACCCGAAGGCGACACAAGGAAGCAGCACTTAGAAAAAATTCTAAGTCCTAAAGATTGGTCCCCCGGCCCAATCAATATTACAGCTAAGGGAATATGATAGCCGAAGGCTATGCGATACAACAGCACTTAGAAAATTTTCTAAGTCCTACATATTTTTCACTCGGTCAACTACTCATACATCAAGAAGGGATGCCATCGCCCGAAGGCTCCCAAGGGAAAAGCTACACATAGAAATCTTTCTGAGTCCTACATATTTCACCCTCATCTCAACTTGTGAAGGGACCTAGTGGCCGAAGGCTACCTATCAATCAAAGGCTACAGTACACAACGGATCAACACTGAGGAAAATCTTCTAAGTCCTAAAGATTGCCCCCCGGCCTAATCAACATTTCAGTTGGGGCTCCACAGTAGCCGAAGGCTACATGACACACTACATTTACAAAAAATTTCTAAGTCCCAATAACATGGCCCTCGGCCATCACTAAACCACCATACATTCATACGTGAGGAAAGCATAAAGGGGAAGGCATACATTCAAACAGAGGGCGCATTCAAACGTAAAAAGCCCGGAGGCAGCATGCATTCACAAAAAAGAGTGAGTGTAATTGTTACAATAATGGCCGAGGCCGAAAACATACAGAAGTTCATTACAAAGAGTTTTCAAAAATCAACTAAGTACAGGCTAAGACTTATCAGCCACTTCATCGAGGGCCCCTGCGGCAGGTTTGGAGGAGATTTCTTCTTCGACGGCATCGTCCCCGACGGCAGCACCATCATCATCGCCACCCATCATCATAGAATCATGAATCACCGGGCGCTCGTCGCCCTCGGGGAGGGGGACTCTCACATCTGGCTGCAACGGGGGGAGGCCGTACACCGAGGGGTCAAACTCCGCCAGAGGGGTGCCGAAATGCCGGGCGAGCCTCCGGTAAACCAGATGTTGGGTGAAGAACTCGCCGGCTTGATAATAGGTGTCGCCCCTCTCGTTTATCCAGTCGAGCCCAGGGCCCTTCACCCAATCCTCGATCGAGGCCTTCACCACAGAGGCCACCCACTCCCTCTGGCCCTCGGCCTTCCAACCCTCGGAGATGAACCCAGCGATGGCCTCTTCCCGGGCTTTGACGACAGCTTCGGCCTTGGCCTTTTCGGCGTCCTCAGCCGCTTGCTTTCTCTCCTCGGCCGCAACCCTCTCGACCTCTGCCTTGCCCTCGGCCTTGCCGTCATCTCTGGCCTCCTTCAGCTTCAGCTCCGCTCGCCGAAGGGCGTCCTCCAGCTTGCACACCTCCCAGAGGGAAGCGTCCTTGTCATGGATCAGCTCCTTCACGGACTTCTCTAGCTCGGCCTTATGACGGCGCCACTCCTCGCGCCTTCGGGCCTGCTCACCGAAGGTTATACACGCCTGTTGAATAACAGACAATGGGTTCAGACGGGCATTGGGAATATACTAAGTGTTAAGATAAAAGCAAAGTAAAAATACTTACAGCCAGAGATGATCGAAGGGCCTTGCTTTCGAGGGCGTTGTCATCGTAGGAGGAGAGGGCTTCCTTATCCATCATCGAGGTAATCCCCCTCAGGAAAGACATCGGTTCAGCTGAACCGTGCAACACAGATGCCCCCGGAGCGAGGGAGAGCTGAATAATTTCCCGAGGCAAGTTCTCCGGGGGGAGATCTGTTTGATCCATCGGAGTGTCAATGGCCGGGGAGTCAGCGGAGGGCTGATCATCAATTACTACGAGGGGGCCGCCATTCCTACAGTGCCCCCGGCAACCTTCTGTTTCTTGATAGGGGGCTCGACCCCCTTGCCTCCCTTCTTCTTTTTGGCGGCCACCTCGGCCTTTGGACCCCCGGCCACAGTAGCAGGAGCAGCATCAACAGAAGGCTCCACAACCTCCTTCGTGAAAACCTCATCAATGGGCTTTTGGCCCGAGGGATCCTTTTTCTCCTTCTTCTGGGCCTGAGCCCTCTCCTTCTTCTTTTTCATTGCAAAGAGAGCCTCCATACCTGCAAAACAATGAAAAGAAAAGATTAACCCGAAGGATTCATACAACAAACAACTATCGGGATGCAAAATAAGAATGCCTAAGTACAAGACTAAGGGCCCTCGTAGACTACCTCCTGCTCCCCCGAAGGCCTCAGCAAAAACGGGATACTTCTCGTCCGCTTCCCCGATGAAGCGGTATCTCCGGAAGCCGAGGGCGTAGAATTCCTTGTCGGCAGTGTAGTCTTTAATAGACACTTGCTTCGTGCGACCCTCCGGGATTTTGGCTATTACCAAGCCATCTTTCTCGAGAGCGGCGCTTCGAACCTTCAGATGCCGACGGAAGCGATCCCGAAGTTCCGCCGGAAATGGGTTCTCAGCAACTCTGACGTAGCACCAACGCTCCTTCCAGCCCTTATTGGACGAAGGCGCCTCTGTAAATACCTTCCACCTAGCTATCTGCTGCAGGTTGGCGAAGCCCTCGGCATTCACGTGACCCCCTCGGCAGAGGTTGAAGCTCTGGAAGAACAAGTACAGGCTGGGGGTCACCCCTCGGTCCCTGCAGAGGCTCAAAAAACCCGCGACGTAGGAGTGGCTATTAGGTGTCAGCTGGCAGGGGACCAAGACAACAAACCTAAGGTACTCCCGGAGGAAGGGGTGCAGAGGGAACCGAAGGCCCATGGAGACCGACAGTACGTGTACTGCAATACACCCCTCGGGCGCCCGGGAGAGCACATCGTCAACTCCCGGCTCGACCACCACGGCCGAGGGCCCTACGTGTAGCTGTGTGACGTAGAAATCCGCCCTGTCCGCCTTCGACTTTATCTCCAGCGCAGCAGTATTGAGCCAGGAATACCCCTCCGACATATCTATGGGTTTCCCCTGATCGGCAGCAACAATCTTCTTCTTGGGGGCAGCTACCTTGGCCTTCTTCTTTCCGGGGGCCACCCGGATGGGAACCGCGTTCAGCGACCGAGAGGTACTGGCCTCACCAGCACCCCGAGGGGGAAGGACAGCCACGGTCACCCTCGTCCTCTCCTTTGCTTCCTTCTCCTCTGCAACCTGCATGGCGAGGGCCAGCTCTTCGTCTTCCACCTCCTGCTCGAAGCCCTCGGCTTCAACTGCAGCTAGCAGCTCCTTCTGCACCTCTACTGCCATCGCAACGTCCTCCTGGGCCGAGGACTGTGCACTGGAGGACTCCACATCCGAGAGGACTTCATCCTCCATCGAGGGCGCCCCCGAGATGTCTTGAGAATCACTCTGGGACGACATTATGGCTCTAGCTCGAGGGCTCGGGAGAACTAAGGTTTTCCTAGGAAATTCTATCTCCTAACCTAAGGGCACAAGGCACGGCTAATTAGAAGGAGAAGGGCAAGTGGAGAACTGACCTTGAGAACAGGGGATTCAACCGAGGGCTGCTGTTTCTCTCTCTAGAAAAATTGGCAGAGCTTCGCTATAAGAATTTCGCACAAGGAGGAGTGCCTGGCCTTGGGGTATTTATAGGCGCTGGAATCCGGGCTTGGGCCTGGATTCCGGGCCCCCGGATGGACCGCCATCATTACACGCCGTGTCTTCGCCCAACCGGTGATGCCGCCCACGGACAACCAACCATCACGTGCCACGTGTACCCCCCCCCAACGGCTATAACCTGACGTTACATATTCCAACGGCTATATTTCCTACGGCTATATTCTGGGAGCCCCCGGATTTTCTTACTTCACTCCACTTCATCAAGGAGAGCCTCCGGGTACACTCACCCAGAGACGCCCCCGGGTCGTGCCCCACACAGTACGTAACAGACGCCTTCGGGATCACTCCTTCAGAAGCCCAATGCTTCATATCAGGCCACCCCTCGGGGATACCCCCTCAGCACTGTAAGGATCGAGTAGCCCCCGGGGAGTATGCCTCATTGGCGGATAGCCTACGGCACACAGGTAATGGGAGCCCCCGGATATCCCCATCACCAACTGATCAACAAGCAGGGGACCCCCCAGGACATCAACAGCAAGCCTTCGGCTAATCAACACATGAGCCCTCAGAAAAAAGGAGAGCCTTCAGCATTGCCGTTATTCTCCATTTTTGACCAAGGTTTCACACTTTCGATTCATCGTTGGGGGAATTCGGTGCACTCTTTTTCCCTCATTAGGATTTTTTCCCACAGGGTTTTTCCTAATGAGGTTTTTAACGAGGCATCCCCCCAAAATGAAACGAAAAGCGTCAGCCTTCGGCCCACAACAGCGACGCAACTACTCTACTCCTTTTCACCACTTTACAAGTGCCTCAAGGAGTGGGGGACTGGAGGACCCGCTCGGGAAAATCATTAAAATTACAAAATAATGAAAATTTCCAACAAACGGCAAAGCAAGCCCTCAAGTCCCGACATGTGGGTAACTGAGGGACTGCCTTCGGCAGGGACATGAAAGCAACAACTCCTCACCAACTTCAGAGATTACAATGGGACAACATCAAAGGGCGAGCACAAATTACTCCTTTTTCCCTCAAGTACCTTTCGGCAAAAGGAGTGAGGGACTCCTGATGGAGTATATGGCCCGGGAACACCCGGCCCACAGACTCCTACTACTCCAGTAAAGGCCCAACAGGCCCAGAAGGCCCAACGGGCCCAAATCACAGCGCCCAGAGTACCAAGCAGCCCGCAATACGCACCAGGGGTGCCTTCGGCCCCCTGGCCGAAGGCTCTAAACTCTCACAAAACGGGTTTCTCAAGCAATCTAAGAAACTGGGGGAGAAACGGCAGAAAACTATAGCCCTCGGCACCTGGAGCCCTCGGCACCTGGAGCCCTCGGCACTCAGGGGTCCTCGGCACTAAGAGCCCTCGGCTAGTCCTCTGCAGCCGAGGGCACCTCTCCCGACATAATATCCGCGCCACATGCATACAGATCACCGTAACCTGTACAACGTCCCATCCAACAACCGCATTAAATGCGGCCACATGCGGCTGCCAGCGCCAACCAGTTGAGGTGACCTCTCGGCCAATGGACGCTTGACACGTGTCCCTGTCCGGAATTTATTGCTACTATAAATAGCACCTCATTTCCCCATTTGTAACCGACTCATAAACGCTGAAAAACGCTCCACACTCATAATATACTTTCTCTCTCTATATTTACTTGCTCTGACTTCTCTCTTGTTACTCCCCGCAATAACCCTCGGATAAGCTACCCCCCGGGTACACTATCCATCAATATACTGGTAGGATTTGAATATCCTATTTAAGGTAAATAAAAATTACCTTATTGCATTTTAAATTTCCAGTATAATTGTAGTTGTCACAAAAATTGTACATTGATTTGTCACTTATGATTAATTTTGAAGACTGACACTCAAAGTAAATAAGACATAATGTACAAGAGCAAAGTATAGTGGCATCATCAAAATCTATCAAAATTGGGTACTAACAATTTCCCCCCTTTTGATGATGCCAAAACTATACAACGCAGGAACTAAACATTTTTGTTGATTTTCAATGGGAATGTTACATTGTTCTAAAATCTTAAGTACAATAGTTTTTAGTCATTTTTGGACTGTTGGCCAAATCTTCTTTTGTTGGTTTCTTCTAACTTCTTCTGGATTCTTCTTTGGCTCTTGCTTCTTCTTCTTTTCTTTGTCTGATTTGTCTTTCTTCTTGGTAAAGTTTGTTCTTTCTTCGTGTTGCAGCAGCTTTTTGTGCTGCTAAGGATCTTGAGGAGGAGGGGTCTGCTGGAGTTGTTCTTTCCCCCCATTTTGGCATCATGAGCAGGGGTCTCACTTTCTATTTCTTCATCAGAGTCGGTGTCTTCAGTTCTTCTCCTTGCTGGATCCAGGCCATAGACGTCCATGGATAATGCCTTGATGTAGTTGCGGATGTCCATGCCGTCTGTCTTTACTTCTTCTTTGACCTCATTTTCCAAGTTTTGAAACTTGTGCTTAGTATGCTCCAGGTCTTGTCCCAACTTCTGGAAGTCACTGCCTTGCTTCCAAAAGGTTTCTTGTGTTGCCTTTTGAATAACTTTGAAGTTGTTCTCAACGGCCTTTGTTAATTGCTCATAGGCTTGAGCATGAGCCTGCTGTTCCATGAGGAACTTGTGGGAGAGTTTGAGCATGGCAGGAAACTCCTCACTCCCTGGCTTTGTGAGGTAGTCTTCATGCTCCTGCACCTTTTTAAGAGCTTGTTCAAGGTTAGGAGATAAAGAGGAAAGTAGAGGTACCTGAGGAGAGGACTCTGCTGCCGGTTGGGAGGTTGTTGTTGTCTCTTACTGTCACAGTTCCCTTAGAGATGCCAGTATTTGGTTTTCCAGCTCTTCATCTTTATCTCATAGTGCAGCGAGCTCTTGGTGTATAGCTTCCATCTGAGCCGGCTGCTGGGAGAGTTGGATTTTTAGCTGTGTCTTTTACTAGAGTTGAAGACTTGCTGGATCATCAACCGAAATGAAAATTTCTATGTGATTAAGGTATGCAGACTAAACTGAAGGGGTAAAATTTATCGACTAGCAATTAGGCTTGCATTACTATATGGTGTATGTGTTGGATGTGAAACAATATCACATTCAAAAAATGAGTGTGGCAAAGGTGTGCATGTTGCGCTGGATGTGTGGACATACTAAAAAAGACTGTTTGAGGAATGAGACAATTAGACAAAAGGTTGGAGTATCACCTATTGAAGATAAGATGAAAGGAATACTTAAACAGACTTTGATTAGAAGAGTTAGGAGTGACAAAAATAGTGTGAAATTTTCACTTTTACTTAGCTCTACTACGCTTTTTGTTGTGACAAAAATATTCATTAATTTATGAAAAATGCTACTGCATTTTTAACCCAAATTGCTGCTTTGTTAGCACTATTAGAGGCTTTATTGGTCATCTTCTATAACGCATCATAAATAATATAAGCACAACACATATGAAATTTCAAGCTATAGATTCAACTGATCAACAAACTTCAACAACATACCTTTAAAAGAAGTTTGAAGCTCTTCAATGAACATGTGTGGATTGTCAAATCCTACTTTGGAAGAGCCTAGATTTTGTCAAACTCTGTACAATATGGAAGAAGCACAACCTTAATTGAAGGGAACAAACTCGCAATTACCATAAAAATTTGAGGTGAGGAAGGGGGAGGTCGATTATGTTTGTAAGTCATCATTCATAGACTTAATGCATTGAACCATCTATTTCATATCATCTCATTGATATTTACGATGATGGCTAAATTCATCTTTGGAATAACAAATCAAACTAGTTCAATAGAAGTACAATGAGGTACATACACACCTGGATTGGCTACGAAAGCTAGAACAATGACTGAGAGGTGCAGCTTCAATTAATCGCCTAGGCAAAGCGATTTTCAAGACTATAAATGAAACCATGAAGAGATGGTGATAAAAAAATATAGTCGGATACTTATCGGTGGGCAAAGCCGCAAAGGATAAATGTAGGCTAGGAATAAAGGGTAGCTAATTAGGGTTCTGAGATGTGATTTGAAGGAGGAGGGTGTGAACGTGCACCAAGTCTGCCTCTTTATAAGTATTTTGGTAGGAAAAGTACATTTAATTGGATGGAAAACCAAAAAATGGAGTGTCAAGAGGAAAGCCAGCCACAAAAAATTAAATTATTGTTTAGAATCACTACCAATTATTAATTTTGTTGTGTCATAACTTAACGACACTTGTTTACAAACATTCATGGCATATGAAGCTTCCTTTAGAGATTAAGCTTTTTCAGTGGAAATCAATTAAAGGCATTCTCCCTATTACTGAAAATCTTCTAAGGTTTCAAGTGGTTTTGAATCCATCTATATGCCCTTTTTGTAAAGCACAAGCAGAATTGGTGGATCATATATTTATTTCATGTGAGAAGGTAGGCCTATTTGGATATACTATATGAATATTTTTTCCATTTCTACTCATCATCAGGCTCACACGGTTAGAAAGACTTTCACTGCATGGTGGCTTAAGGCTGGACACAAACACCTTTTTTATATTTATAAACATAATATGTCAGGGATAATCAGTTGGCACATTTGGAAAGCATATGCCAACATCATCTGGGGGATGGATGGTTCTGTTTCTGTTTAACACTTGATTAATCAGATCAAGTTACACTCCCAAAGCTAGGTTATGAGTTTCTCTACAAGTAAAATCGGTAGAGTTGATGCTATTTTTTATGAGGAGCGGCTAATTCCTAACAACTTTAGACCCTCTCTTCCGCTAATTTCAATGATAAAATGAAGAAATCCTTTGAAGAATCTTAAATTGAACACAGATGCCTAGTTCTTACCTCACTCATCAACAACAGTAGGTGGTGCGATAATGAGAAATAGTGAAAGGTAGGATGGTTTTTACTTCCTCTGTCCCCTTATCGGCGTCTTCCAGTCTAGAGGTGGAGCTCTTAAAAGTTGTTCGAGCTACGATCTGGGCTATAAATGCTTGATTCACAGGTTTTCAGGTGGAGATTGATTTGTTGGAGGCTTTGAGATGCTTATATGACGGTGGAGCAGGAAGATAGATCGATGTGATAAAGGAAATGTTAGACATGTCTATCTGGGGAGGAGTTTCCTTTTCATTTGTATGGCGTGAGGCGAACTGGACCGCGCATTACTGGGTGGATCTGTCTCTGGCCTAGCAACAAACTATTACACGGGCTTTTGATATTACACGGGTTTTTGATCCACCTGCCCGAGCATAAAATGCTTATTTTTTGAACTTATTTGCTATTCCTTCTCTTAGACAGTATCATTAAGTGTGCTTTTCATTTTGTTATTGGGTCAGGCCTTGCCCCCACCCCCATTCAATTATTTTCTTGATTTTCTTTTCATGTATTTCTAGAAGGTATGCCTTCTCACGAGAGCTCTTGGTCTAGTCCTCCTCTCGAGAGCTCTTGGTGTGCCATGAAAAAACAAAAAACATCCATTTTCTCGAAGTGTGAAAGAGATAGACCTTTATGTTTGTCCACAGAGGCAATCACATTGAAGTCCCCTCACAAGAGCCATTGTGAAGAATTATTATCATGCCAAGAATGTAAGGAATTCCATAGTTATTCTCTCTCTTTTTGTGTGTTTAACATATATAGAATATTGCCAAAAAATGAATTCACCAAGACTCTTGCATGGATAATTTGAATGTCCAGATTGATATGAGAAACTGAAACAAGATGTTTATAAAGGAGTCATATTTTACCATTAGGGCTCATGCATATGTTAGGAAAGCCAAGTTGAAGATTAAAGTAATCACTTTTTGAATTGTTAATCATCGGTTCAATAAGAATGAGAAGATGAAAGTCCCATTATTTATTGAGAAGATGAACGTCACATTGGTCTGATCTTGTCTGATTTGGACCGTTTAAGTGTGACTTGGTTTGGTAGATGTCTGGTCGAAGTCTAGTCTGGTCTAGTCTGAGACTGAAATAATTTCAATGGAAAACATGTCAAGCGTGATATTAGCACATATATGTTTAGTGAAGCAGAAAGATTGAATGAAAATTTAATAAAAATGATTAGTTTTAATTTGTCTTATAATTTAAGTGTTTTTAGTTATATGTCTTACTCTTCATTTTCATTTTTTATTAATGGTTGAATAAAATACCAAATTTTATACAAACAAAATTCTATTTTTTACTATTTTATTGTAAATCTCCATCCAAATGCCTAAGAATCCTTTCATAGCTACATCATTAGGAGTTGATCATTGTAATCAATCAGTTGTTCTTGTAAATTGTAACAATTTTATTATAAGGTAGGTGTTGGGTTTTACATGTTATGTTCTTTTGCTTACATGTTTATTTATATTATCAGTGATAGCCATCCCAAACACAATGTGTACTATGAAACTATTTCAGAATTTGCAGTTTTGGGCTTAGTATGTAATGGTGATTTTGTGTATATGAAAACAATGATTTTTTATCAATTCATGGATGGTTAAGGCAAATTCAAATGCATCAAAGTTAATAAAATATCAATATATTGTGAAAAAAAGATAAGGTTGGGCAACTTGTATGGAATAATAGAAAACCAAAATTGTACTCCTCTTTTAAACCATTTGTTGAGAATGACAAAAGTATGGTTGACAAAAGTAAATTATGGAATAGCAGAAAACCAAAATGTTAATCAACATGCATTTTGTGCAAATCATCACATAATATGCACTCTATTTAATAAACCCTACTCAATAACAATCAGATATTTATAAATATGCAACTACTAGTAAAAAGTAACTTTCTACCTAAACAAAATAACACTTAATGCAAGTGCTACAAATTATGATTTATGTATTTAAACTTATCATTTTAGTCACAGTCAGAACTCAAAGCACATTATTAATCGATTTTTTCGCAAACCGGATGGGGCTTTTAAAGAACAGCCGAAAAGGAACAATATCCAATTCTCCCCTCTAAAAAAATATACATTGAACAAACACAACTGAAATCTCCACTCTAAAAGATATCCGATTCCTAGAACAATCAAAGGAGACACTACTAGAGAGCTATCTTCATAGTACTGTCGTTAGCCGCATTCATTAAAATCAGTCACTCTCGGAGACCTATACACAATCTGTGAATATGAGACCAAAATGGTTAAGAACAACCATATAGGCTTAGTAGTTAAACTAGCTATGAAGAACAACACATCAAAGATGAGTACTTCTAATTAAGTAGCGATTTAACAACACTAAACTGCTAATTGTACCAATAATGAATGAAATTGGTTCAATAAGAAAACACTAAATCCAAATCATTAAAAATAAATTACATAAAAATATAGACACAATGAGTCTTAAAGTAGAAGATAGAGTTTTTGTCAATTTTAGTCCTCCGACTACTGTGTACTTGACTTTAGTTTTTTCCATTTTTAGTCCTTCGACTATTGTGTGAAAGACATTTATAGTACTCGTCTTTGGAAATGTTCATATGTAGTCATTCGACTTCATATAAGTGACACTTTTAGTCCTTCAGCTATTATATTAAATTAGTGACATTTTAGTCCTCCACTTATCGTGTCAGAATCATAGTGTAAGGACTAAAAATGTCAATTTGATAATACTCAGTTGACTAAATGTGGGAAACTTTGAAGTCGATGACTATAAGTGTCTCTCGCACAATAGTCAAGGACTATAAATAGAAAAATTGATGGTCGAGTACCAAAAATGTCACTGACACAATAGTCGGGGGACCGAAAATGGAAAAAACTCGTAGAAGGTATTTGCAAAACACGCACAAATATATAGAAATAAACAAGTTAAGGATGATCATTTTTGCATATGAAGGATTTCTTCAAACCAACTTCTTTTTTTTTTGCAAATTTCAAACCAACTTCTTATTGTACAGGATTCGTTGAAAACAAATACCATGTCCAAAAAACCCTAGGCGAAAAATTAGGGAGTAGAACACTAGGGGCGGGCATAAAATCCGAACCGAACCGGTCCAGAACCGTCCCGTAATGGTACCGAACCGAATACCAGGTATTTAAACGGTTCTATAGATTTTTATCCCGTATCGAAACCGTACCGTTTGAAACGGGTACGGGACCGGTCCTAGATTTTGAGAACCAGAAAATACCGGACCGAACCGTTCGTAAATAATGCATTTGAATTTTTTATATTTTTCTATATCAATAGATCTAGACCAACAATTTTATGAATTTGGATCCTCTCCAAACTGGAGAGTTCCATTATGAGAGAGATAGAGAGGAGAAAATTAAGAGTGGGGTATGTTGGTGAATAGGATAGAGAAAAAAGTAGAGATAGATAGGAAGTAAAAAGGAAATGGAAGGAAAATGGAGAGAAAGAAATGGAGAGGAGCTGCACTCCAATTTTATACCCCAAGTATGTATTCATGTGTCTCTAAGATATCTAAAATGTGTTGTTTATATATATATATATATATATATATATATATATATATATATATATTGTTAGTTTTTCTTTTTAGATAATTTATGTTATATTTTAGTATGTATTGAAACAATATTAAAATTTTAGAAATCATTAATGACTTTTTGTAATGTAGTGTACATGACTTTTTGTTGTATCATTTTTGTGCATATTTTACAACTTAATTAATATGGTTTAAATCTTAGCTCTCAAGATTCAACTATAAATTAAATTAGAACTACGGAGTAATATTTAACCTAGAACGAACAAGAACGTTGAAGATTTCTATTATATTCAACAATTTGATGATATTCGTTTTTATATTTTTACAAGAACTTAGTAAATTAAAAATGATATTTATCTCGTGCGTCATCGTTTTGCTACACTTTTTCTTAGATATGTTGCACTATTTGTGTATTTGTGAATTTTAGTACTAGATATGCAATTTCTTGTATTTATTTCAACATGTCATGTGAGTTGATTGATGTGATGATATCTATTAATTACAAGATTTGTTCAAAAATTTCAGCATGTGTTTGGCATTGTACCGTACCGTTTTGTACCATTCTGAAACGATATGGTACCGAACGGTTCTATCCTTGGAATCGGACCGTACCGAACCGTTAAAAACCTCACGGATACATTACGGGTTTTACCAATTTACCGGACCGTTCCGGACCGCGCCCACCCCTAAGTAGAACTAACAAGGGAATAGAGAGGGAAAAGAAAAACTAAACAAGCTTACCTTTAAATATTGCCGGTCTTCTTTATGAATTGATGGCTTCAACTTTATGAACACCGTTGTTTGCTTGCACGCTTCTTTGGTTTGGGATATCAAATCATTCAAAATAAAAGAGAAAACATGAACTAATAGATTAAATATAACTAATAGATCGAGCGTAAGACGAAGAGGAATCGTTCGAAACAATCAATTGTAATATGAACTAATTCCAAAAAAAAAAAAGAATATATATTATACACTAACACGAAGAATATATATTATCCAAGAGTAGAATAAGGGCATTTCATGTTAGTGTAATATATATTCTAATAGACCCAATTAGATATTTATGACCTTCATAAATCTATTATTCTAATTACATTCTAATGTTAGTGTAACATGAAATAAGAACATAGAAGTGTACACCTTCATAGGAATCTTTATTTTATGACCTTTATTAGATATTTTTGTTATAATTCATATTTAAAATATGTATAATTTACTATTTATATTGAGTATTTACCCAATATAATATATGGCCTGCCTAGAAATGGGCAGGACCGACCCTGGTTCCCTGGTTCCATATTGGGTTCCATATTAGACAGAAAGAACAAATGTAGGTAAACAATCCATAGTATTTTACTGTTGCTTGTTGAGTGAAACCTTTGGGATCGGTAATAATAACCAGAAACTGTTTTTTGACCAAATAGTAACCAGAAACTTAGTACTCTTAAATCTCAAGCCCACATACCGATGTCAGTTCCTTCTCAAGAGCCTGAATTCTCTCTTCTTGTTTAATTTGCTTCTCTTTCAGTAGTTGAACCTCTTGCATCAGCTTCAAATAAAAAATAACAGTTATATGAATATAAAACAGATTATATCTTGATGAAGTTATAAAGGATAAATGGACTACCATTGATAGAATATCCTCAGGAGCTTCAACAAATGGCGCTTTAAATCTTCCAACATTATCTGCCTCTCCCTCCCATTCCCCAGAATAGACTCCAGGACCCTCAATAAATGAATAATTACTTTCTTTTTCTCCCTGATCAATATTCTCTCTGCATGCCTCATGGTGTTCACTTTTGCTTATTGGAGGAGAAGAGCAAGATTCCCATTCTCCCCCATTGTAATCCTCTGGCAAGGGTGAATTTGGACCTAAAAAAGATGTGTGATTCTTCAACAGAGAGCTCCATGTTTTCTGTTCAGAGGAAACATGTGCATCCTTTTCTGGAATCACTTCAGTGTTGAATAATTTTAACGAAGAATTAACGTTTCCAGTAACCTTCCAATAGTAATAATTAAATAATCATTATAAATGATCCTAAGGCCATATATAAAATGAAAAAAATATCACAACATTCATTCATAGGTGCATTGTGTCGCTTACCTCCGTCATAAGGCAAAGGAGCATTATAACGGTTTCGCAGAATAGAACAACCAGCTTCAAGTGTAGCCGTAGGTCTATGGTGATGAGAAGGACGAGCATAAGACTGAGCTGAAGATGAAAACAAGTTGATCATCTTTTCTGTTTGAGAATGGTCCATCTCAAACCAAAAAAGGCATGACTGGTCATAATAGTTATCAGCAATGATGGGGTAAAACTGGTCTTCCTTCAAGGAATAGCAGCTCTCGAACATTTTAATATTGACCTTGAAAGACACGGTGACACAGAGGATTAATTATCAAAATAGGACTAAAAGCAGGTCAATTTGCACAAATAAGATCAAAAAATAAACTAAGGAGTATGTTTCATAGAACTAATTATGTGTGTGTTGGACAAATATACCCTTGTATCTATTTAAATGTTTTAAATTCATAATAAAATAATACAAATTCGTAAAAAATACTAAGAAATTAATACAAATATTTAAAAAATATTTAATAAAGCTATTTTTGGTTTTAAAAAAATAATTAAACTTTTTTATAAAATTTAAAAAAATGAAAAAAATGAAAAAAAAATCATTGCCGCCTCTGTTGCCCCAGCACCACCACCTCCGATCACCGGGGGGGGGAATGACACATGCATAAGGAATGCCATATTTATGGCAGATTCAATGAAAATTTTGGCATTCTTTTGGCATTTTCATAAAAAAATGGCATTTTTTACACCGGTCGAAGGTGGTGATGCAATGAGCCAGTACAGGCGGTGAGAAAGGCATCCATAATTTATTTATGGACTTTTACTATTTTTTATTAATTTTTTAATTTTTTTTAAAAAATTGATTTTTTATTTTTTAAATATTTTATTAATTTTTTATTTTTTTTAAACGATTTTTATTATTTTTTACAAATTTATTATTAATTAAAAAATTTTATTATGACTTTTTACTACCTTTTACTCATATTTAAAGGAGGGGTAAGAATGGAAAGAAAAAATAGGTATGTTTCCAATATGACTAGTTTGGTCCTATTTTGGAATAAAAATATAAATTTCCTATTTTTTTTATTTTTGTTTCCAATATGTTTCCAATTTTTTTTACTACCTTTTACTCATAGTTTTACTTCTATTTGGGGTAGTTTATGTATTGACTATGAAAGATACAAATAGTTTAATCGTGTTACTACCTGTGCAGGAAAGTCTGTTTCGCCGTCAACCCCATTAGTCCATGCATATGGGTCAATATTTAGTTTTCCCGGGCCAGCAGCCTCAAATGTGCCCAGAAGCTTCCGATCACTGTAGTTAAAAAGAAAAAGTGGCATGCCAGCACTAACCTTCTTGACATAGGCAAAATGTCCAAATGGTAGCCCTGAACAACAAAAATAAAAGAAAAAATCAAATTAGATTTGGTAGAAATTATAATGAGTAGCATACTATGCATATATGGACTATATTTTACACAAAAGATTACTATACTTCAGGTAGTTCTAATAATGGAATCCCCGTCCAAACTTATCTATTTGAGCTGCTTCCAGGTGGAATTGTTTTATAACATTTTATGAGCGTAATCATCATGAAGTGTGGATTATATTCACAACACTTCAACTTAAAATTCGATAGGAAAATCAGTTAAACATATTATTGAAAAATGCTGTGTTTTAATTTTTATATACATTTTGACACAATGTTTTTCATAATTTATTTAACTGAATTCCAGATTGAATTATAAATGAAATTTATGTAAATAATCTACACTTCATGAAGAACATGTTCATATAATTTCATCAAAAACTTCTACCCAAAAGCCATCAATTAGACAAGTTCAGACGGTGATTCCCGTCTGAGCTAACGATCATTACTCTATAATTATATACACAAATATGCGCTTCACCCAATACCAACTATGGTTATACCAACCTAACATAACCATCAGATACTACAAGTGAAAAACTACAATGCATGAAAGAGAGACAGAGAGTAAGAGAAAAACCAAATAATAGCTTGGAAAAGCATTCGTCAATTGTGTGGCTTTTACAGCCAAAAATGACAGCTCCTAGATCACTCTTTGGCAGGTTCCGAGCAGGCACGTTGTAGTTGTACTGCTGGATTGGTCGTTTTTCCTTCCCAGCCTGGTTCCTATTCTTCTTCTTAGAACCCATTCAGTCAAAGTCTCCTACGCAATATAAGTGATCAATCTGACAAGCTGAAACATAAACAAATACCAAAATATAATCACACAAAATAAGTTTTGCATAGCTTTTATTCCCTTCAAGATTTCAAGCTGAACCAATAAGATAGATTTCAGCCCATACAATCCAGCATTGTTATGGACTCACTTATGGTACATTAATCTAGAGTACGTAAAAACTCATCAAAACACAGCCGTAGGCATATCACCATTTACATGTATAAACAAATGTGTATGCCTATATTGAGCTGAGCCCGGAGAAGAAATGAAGGCAGTAGAGCATCGGCAAAATGTCATATTATAGGCATGATCATGCATTCATACAACAAATAAACATTCGTACTCTAGATAAAATAGACAAAACGATCATCGCATAATAGCCACGATCCTTCAAAAATCACAAAAAGATCTCAAATTATATGGTGCAACCGGCCCACCATGAGGATGGTGCGCCCGGTTGCAAAAACGACGCAGTTATCTCTTTTTTTTTTTTTTTTTTTTAAAATGATAATAACTTTTTTTATTTTTGATCCGATTTTTATAAAATTTATATCAACATTTTTTATTTTTCATGATCTTTCAAATGAGACCAATATTGTGTATGTAATTTTAAGAAATTATCGAACTATTATATTAATGAGTATTGGATTATAAGAAAAATCGAATCTGTTTGGGAGATGATAGGTTTGTGAAATAGAAGATCGAATCTGTTTGGGAGTGGATCAGTGGCCTCAGTTACATTTGATAATACATTGAGTTACATCTTTTTATGAGCGAGTTACATCTTTTTATAAGCAAGTTACATCTTTTTATAAGCGAGTTACATCTTTTTATAAGCAAGTTACATCTTTTTATAAGCGAGTTACATATATATATACACACGAGTTGCATTTGACATGTCTGAACGCGACTTACATATATTTACACGTAAAGTTACATATTTTTACACGTAAAGTTGCATATTTATACACGCGAGTTACATATTTATACACACGAGTTGCATGTGACCTGTCTAAATGCGAGTTACATATTTTTTTACGTAAAGTTACATATTGTTACACGTAGAGATACATATTTATACACACGAGTTGCATTTGACTTGACTGAACGTGAGTTACATATTTTAACACTTAAAGTTACATATTTTACACACAAATGTTAATATGTTAAAATTACATAGGCAATATTGGTCTCATTTGAAAGATCATGAAAAATAAAAAATGTTGATATAAATTTTATAAAAATCGGATCAAAAATAAAAAAGTTATAAACATTTTTTAAAAACAAAAGGAAAAAAAAAATATAAAACCGTCCTGGTATACGGTGCTCACCGTATACCGGTTGCACGGTATACGCACTCCAAAAAGATATATCGAGTTGGAAAAACAAACTAGTCTCCTGAACAGGAAACTTAAAGTTGATGAAGAACGTACTACATTAGGCAAAACAAGTGAAGGTGTGTCATGAACTTGAGTAAGGTGTCGTATTTCTGGAAGAAGAGCTCGGAGAGAAAGAATGATGATAGAGACAGGCTCAGGACGGTTGCATTTCATGTACCGTATGTACCGTCGAGTAATACTCACTCCGTTCCTAAATAAACTTCCAACTTTCCGTTTTCGTCCGTTCCAATTAAAACTTCCACTTTCCCTTTTTAGTATAGAATTTGTGGTTCACAACATTTCTTACACATTTCTCTCTCCTCTGCACAACTCTCCACCACACAATACCAACTATCTTAAACTTTGTGCCAAACCTATTTGGAAGTTTTAATAGGAACGGAGGTAGTAATATATACTGCCTCCCTCCCAAAAAAGTTGCAAATTTGATTTTTCTTAATCGTTTCGTTTTGTTCACTTAATTAGGATGTCATGTCATTTTTTAATTATTTTCTATTTTGGACTTTACAATTTTGAAGAGATTTTAACGTAGTTTTTGAATATGTAAATTTTAAATATTAAAAATTGAATTAATTATTCATAGGAAGGGTTGACTTTTATTATTAGTTGACCAAAAAATGTTGACTTTGCTAAACAAATTGGGACGAAGGGGTAGATAATTTGAAAATAATATGGAAATGTTCTTTGTCGAAAATAATATCCTAAAAATATACTACGTAGTATTATTAAAATATTTATTCAAGGTATACCATCTTTGATTAGAAAAGTCAAAACTAAATAAAAGGAACGGAGATAGTATGTAATTCAATCATCTCAACTCAAATTAATATCCATTCACTTCATGTCGGTGTAATCTTGTCCTCTTGTGCCCTTTCTCGTCCTGTCATAAACTCCAATTGTTTTTTCTTCATTCCTTATTCAAACATTTCGGTTTTAATATTGCGCGCATATTAAGGAAATACTCTCTCCGTTTCATTGAACTTTGTCAATTTTCCTTTTATGGTTGTCCCAAAAAAAATTGTCATTTTCCTATTAAAGCAACTAATTTTTTATTCTTCACATTTCTGTCTCCTCTGTACAAATCTCAACCACACAGTTTTTACTATTCTTATTTCTCACCTAATTTACACTTGGCAAAGTCCACCGGGATGGAGGTAGTACATTTTTTATTGTAAGTTTTTGAAATGCTCTTTTTACAAGTGCTGGATTTTACTGTGGAATATACTTGTTTGCATTTGTTAAGCATTGTTTAACACTTTTTAGCATGTATTTTTCATTATTACTTAAAGATAATAGAGTAAATAAATAAATACTACGTATTTATTTACCAAATAAGAAAATGAGACTTTATTTAGAAGCATCCAGTAAAGTGGGAAATTAGTTAAGAGATAATATAAGATAGGAGAAAGTCAAAGTAAAAGCCATCAATTAACCTCATGCAGGGTTTAGAGTTGGTGCGCGGTCTTGCCTCTAGAAGAGGGCCACGAGACATTCTTCCAAGGATTTTCTAGGTGGAAGGGTAGCGGTTTAGCTCTCATTGTGTAGTTTTGGAGTTGCTTTGAAGAAGGAGTATTGATTTTGTTGGATCCCTCCTTAATTGGAGAGGTTCTAGAAAATTCTAGAGCTTTTTAGAGAAGTATAGAATTTTATAGAACGTTGCGAAGAATCCTAGAGAAGTCTAGAACTCTCTAGAAGCTTGCGGAATAGTGTGGAATACTCTAGAATATTATGACGATTTGTAGAACCTTCCGGAACCTTATGGAAGAGTATGGAAGCATATGGAAGGGAATGGAGAAGTGTAGAGATTCCTTGAAGTTCTCTAGAATATGTAGGGATGTGTTGAGCATTCTAGAGAACTACTCCTCACCATTCATTATGGAGGTGGGGTTGTATAAATAGGAGTAGGGATCTTCATTCTTAACCATCCTAGCCTAGATTGAATCCACTTCTTAGAGTGAGAAAAACGTAGTAAGAGAATCTCTTTGAGAGAGAAGAGAGATAGCTTGGGAAGTCTATATCCTCAAGCTTGAGTGAATCACCATTGAGTGAGACAATTTTGTAACATCCTTGTAAATCCTACTATTCTTTTGTATAGTGGAAGAATCTCCATATTAGAGAATTTAAATTGTGTGCTACCATTACTACCTTAAATCCTAAGTGCCTATCTTAACCTCACGAAGCGGGAAAGTCCGGGGGTTTTCCCAACAGTGATATCAGAGACAGGTTCACCCAAGACCGTCATTAGCTCGTGCGGTTCAAGATGGAGAATAACGTCGTTGATGATGGAGACGTGTTCAAGCTTACTGCCAACAACTATTCATATTGGAAGCCGATGATGGAAGATCATTTATACTGCAAGGATTTGCATGAGCCCATCATCTTCAAAGAGAAGGTTCAAGGCAAGAGTGATGCTCAGTGGGAGCTGCTGAATCAGAAGACCGTTGCTACGATCCATAAGTACATCGACAAATCTCTCTTCGAGCATGTTTCTACTTACACAAATGCTTATGAATTATGGACAAAGCTTGAGTCTATGATTCAAAAGAAAACACCTCATAATAAGGCCAATTTAGTTCGATGACGGTTGGTAAAGTTGGAGTATAAGGATGGACATAGTATGATTGAACACTTGAACAATTTCAAGGGTCTCGTAAATCAATTAACCAAAATTGAAATGAAGATCGATGACGAGTTGCAAGCCCTTCTACTCCTTAGTTCCTTGCCAGAAATTTGGAACACAATCATGGTTACGCTTAGTAACTCAACTCTGGAAGGAAAGCTAACCATGTACACCGTCAGTGATAGTCTTCTTGGTGAAGAAGCAAGGAGAATGGAACGAGGTGAGTGTATCCATATCGACGATAATGTTATTGAGAACTGGGGTAGGAATGAAACTCGTGGACGGAGTAAGAGCCGAGATCCGCAACAATCTCGAGGTAGGTCCAAATCACGCTCGAAGATCACATGCTACTACTATGGAAGAATGGGACATAGGAAAATGGAATGTCAATCCTTGAAGAGAGACCAGAAGGCATGTAACATCAAAAAAGACCATATCAACCCAACAAAGAAGCAAGAAGATAAGAGTACCACTGTCGTAGTCTGAAAAGAAGACATGTTATATCTCGTTGGATTGATATCCTAAACATTGCTTGTGATGATAGTTCCTGGATTATCGATTATGGTGCTTTCTTCATGTCACTCCCCGTGGAAGTTTCTTCTCATCCTACCAAAGTGGTGACTTTTGTACGGTTCAAATGGGAAACCAAGATAGAAGCAAGATCACTGGGATAGCAGACATCGTCCTGACAACTAGCACCGGATGAGAGCTTGTTCTCAAAGATGTGAGGCATGTCTCATCCATGCGCTTCAATCTTATCTTCGCTGGAAAGTTAGATGATGTTGGTCTGATGAACTAGTTTGGTGAAGGAAAATGGAAGCTCACCAAAGGAAGTCTGGTCATGGCTCGACGGAAAAGGAATGATTGTTTTATGTGATGCAAGCTAAGCTCTGTAAAGGAGAAGCAAACATAATCACTGATAACATGGAAGTATGGCATAAACGACTTGGTCACATTAGTGAGAAGGGCCTCCAGATACTTGCTCGGAAGCAACTCCTCCTAGACTTGAAAAGTAAGTCACTTGATACTTGTGTGTACTGTTTAGCTGGAAAACAACACAGGGTTGCTTTCCAAAGATCTTCTCCACCCACAAGGAGAAAGAACATTCTCGACCTTGTGCACACCGATGAGTGCTCAATGTCCGAGAGATGTATAGGTGGTGCGACGTACTTTGTGACCTTCATTGATGATCATTCAACGAAGGTATGGTTGCACTTGTTAAAATCAAAGGATCAAGTGATTGACGCCTTCAAAGAATTCCACGCTCTAGTAGAACGTGAGACTAGACAGATGATCAAATATGTACGATCTGACAATGGATGTGAGTATAGAGGTCCCTTTGAAGCCTATTGCATGAAATATGGCATTAGCCTAGAGAAGGCTCCACCCAAGACACCATAAATGAATGGACTAGCTGAGAGAATGAATAGAACAATTGAAGAAAGAGTTTCTTGTGTGCTCTCTCATGCTAAGTTACCGAAGTCCTTTTGGGGCGAAACTATAATGGCCGTAGTTGACATCGTCAACCTCACACCATCAGTTCCTTTAAAGGTGCCATCCCAGAGGAAGTTTGGACGGGTAAAAGAGCTTCATACATCCATCTGAAGGTGTTCGGGTGCAGAGCATTTGTTCACATCTTCAAAGACGAGCGAGCTAAGCTTGACACAAAGACGAAGGAGTGTATATACCTTCACTCACCCCAAGGACGAATTCGGTTACTGGCTATGGGATCCAATAAAAAATAAGATTGTTTGTAGCAGAGATGTGGTGTTCTACGAAGATCAAACAATTGAAGACCTTAAAAACTCAGAGAAGCCAAGATTGAGAAGCCGCAGGAGCACCAAACCTACTCATGTTCGATGTGAGGATAATGATCCACATGAAGACAATAATGCTGAAGACCATGAGCCTGTGTTCGAGCAAAGCAACCAGGAGACTCATGATGAGCCAGCTCAAGAAAATCCTCAATCTAGTTCTCTGTCAGCACCAGAGCCGAGGCGATCCTTTAGGGAGAGAAGGCCATCCACTCGGTATAGGACTGAAGAATACGTTACGATCACGGATGATGGGGCCCACAGAGCTATAAAGAAGCGATCAATGATATTCATAAAGAAGAGTGGAGAAGAGTCACGTAAGAAGAGGTGCAATCCTTGCATGAGAATCACACTTATGAACTTGTGCAGCTACCAAAAAAGAGAAGACATTTGAATAATAAGTGGGTGTATCAAATCAAGACCCGAAGATGGTAGCTCAAAGCCTCGCTACAAAGCTCGATTGGTCATCAAAGGATTTGGTCAAGAAAAAGGCATCGACTTTGAAGAAATATTCTCTCCCGTGGTAAATAGGTCATCTATCCGAGTTGTCCTAGGCCTAGCACTGGTGCAAGATCTGGAGATCAAACAACTCGATGTCAATATGGCGTTCCTTCATGGTGACCTAGAGGAAGAGATCTGCATGGAGTAGCCCGAGGGGTTCAAAGTTCCGGGTAAGGAAAACCTAGTATGTCGCCTCATGAAGAGTTTATATGGCCTCAAACAAGCACCGAGGCAGTGGTACAAGACGTTTGAGTCCTTCATGGCAGAGCATGAATTTACAAAGACAAAAAACGATCATTGTGTCTTCATAAAGAGGTATGCGAGTGGTGAGTTTCTCATACTTCTACTCTATGTTGATGATATGTTGATTGTTGGACAAAATCGCATAAAGATAGATGTTTTGAAGAAAGATCTAAGCAAGAGTTTCGCCATGAAAGATTTGGGGCCGGCTAAACAAATTCTTGGGATCAGAATAACTCGTGATAGATCGAAGAGATTATTGTGGCTATCCCAAGAAAGGTACATTGAGAAAGTGTTGGAACGATTCAACATGAACAAATCAAAGCCAGTTAATACTCCACTTTCCGGACACTTCAGCTTGAGTTCAAAGCAAAGTCCCATAATTGAGAAAGAAAAGGAGAAAATGAACAGGATTCCATATTCATCGGTAGTAGGCAGTCTCATGTGTGTAATGATATGCACAAGACCAGATATCACCTGTGCAGTTGGAGTCGTCAGTCGTTTCTTGGCCAAGCCTGGGAGTGAACATTGAGTAAAGGTCAAATGGATCCTCCGATATTTATGAAGCGGGAAAGTCCGGGTTTTTCCCAACAGATTTCATGGTTTTCCTGGGTTGTCATCTTTGCGGGTTACTGGCCTTGCTTAGCATGAATAGCCACGGGGAAGTTTGGTAGGGAGTAACGGTGTCTTGTTCGTAAAAGACTTTGAGTTTCTTGGAAAAAAGGCGAGTGCTTCCAGAAAAGACTCTCAACCTTGATGATGCTCAATAGGCATGTCACCCCACATACAAGATGTCACGCCCCGGACCGCGTCCGAGCCACGTAGACAACCGCCGTACAACCCGATAAGAACAACAACAGTTCATCCCCATTGAGTTGTACAAGGCGTCCGATTGATTCTATTGCCAAATCGATTAGTAAACACATACAATCAACATCAATATCATAATCAAACAAATGCGGAAAATAATAAAATGTTTGATACTTAGCCACACGTGGCAAACACGGGCACGCAGGCCCCCAACTGTTTTAATGAAAACATTGTTCAAAAATCCATGAGCGGTTTATACATTTGAAATATGAATGGAAGCACGAACCACGTCTTCCTCCTCGAATGATCACCCTAGGCAAAGGTGCAGGTAGTAGGACTCTAGCCTCAACCTGAAAAATGTGAGGGCCCCCGGAGGGGTCAGTACTCCATAGAAGTACTAGTGACAAGCAGGCTATATGAAGAATAACTAATGTTTCAGACACGAGACCCAAAAATAGGGTGATATATACATATAGATGTCCCTCATCCACCCGATGATACATACTGTATATATATACTCGTAAAATACTCAACCCGTAGGTCATTTACCTTAAAGAGTCTTTTAGAGATAAAGTTCTTACCTGACTTTTCTCACTCCTTTCCCGGTTACCTAGCTCACAAGCTATAGTCTACCTTTGATTCATACTACCGAGTGTTTTAGGATCATTTACCGTCCAAGGCACTCAACCCATCCTGGAGTATTTAAGATCATTTACCGTCCAAGGGTACTCGGCCCCACCTGGAGTATTCTGGATCATTTACCGTCCAAGGGTACTCGACCCCACCTGGAGTATTCTGGATCATTTACCGTCCAAGGGTACTCGACCCCACCTGGAGTATTCTGGATCATTTACCGTCCAAGGGTACTCGACCCTACCTGGAGTATTCTGGATCATTTACCGTCCAAGGGTACTCGACCCCACCTGGAGTATTCTGGATCATTTACCGTCCAAGGGCACTCAATCCCCAGTCTATTCTCTACCAAATCCTAACCTGGATATGGCTAACCTTTCATTCCTTTAACTATGGACAATGCCTAGCCCTGAAGTCATATAACAATCCTTAGGATCCAACGTGGGCGGGTCCCACCCGAACGGCCCACGTTACCCTACTCAAAACTGCCCATTCTGAGCTTAACCCAAGATCCGGTCGGGTGTCCAGCCTTACCCGGTCGGGTTGGGTGAGGCAGTAGCCTCTGGAGCCAACTTTACTTGAGACCCGGTCGGGTCTACACCCATACCCGGTCGGGTCTAGTGTGGCAGTGGCTTCTGGAGCCATTTTTAATCAAAACCCGGTCGGGTGTTCACCCATACCCGGTCGGGTATCACCTTTGTCTTGGCGGTCAACGCTCGTTTGACCGCCCAAACGAAGTCCGATTAACGTGAAATTGTATACACTTATACTTCTTGACGTCCTTGATCCAAAAATACCATTTTGGATCCCGGGAACATCACACATAAGAAGTTATCACATTTTTGATCACCAAACCTACATAACATGCTTTTGAATTATGTTTTATGTATAATCATGGCATAAGCACACACTTGGTTATCTTTAATCATTCCACAAAACATATTCCTGATTACTTTAGGTAATCTCACGGCTCACGCAAAAGTTATAAAGCATAAAGCCGTCTTCTCACCTTAATGAAGCTTATGAAGTTCCAGCCTTCCCGATTTAGCTCCGACGAAACTCCGGCGAACTTCAACGAACTCCGGCGACAACTCCGGCGACCTTTTCAACTCCGTGAAAGTTCCTTGAATACCTTAGACAAGTTACTAACAAGGTTTTATCATCATAAAACCCATAGTAATACAAATAACCTCAAAAAGGTTATTTTCCGGCGAACCGGTCACTTTGGCTTCTAAGTCCGTTCTTGGACTTAGAACTACCTTCCAACCCCTCTTTCTACACATCCCAACGTGTAGAACATTACTAGGGTGTGAAATATTATTGAATAATCATAAAAGAGTATTGAAGAACAAGAAATAGGATTAATGGAGTCCTTACCTTGCTAAACACAAGTTTTCCTCTCCAAAACCAACTTTTCCTCTT